TTGATTTTACGAAAATTGATTAAATGTTGGAGGAAAATTTATTTTACGACAATTCAAACAGGCAATTTTACAGCCAATTGAATTTAGGATGAATTCATTTTAATTTATTAAAATTACGACCAATTTGATAGGATATAAGTAACAATGATCAAATGTGTAATTATATCAAATTTTTAATTGCCACATCAACTTTTCCGTTAAATATTAAAAACAAGTGGCTTAATTGAATGCATTTAAATAGTTGAGTGACTTGATTAAGAAAATTTCAAAAATAGTAATCAAAATGAAAAAGAGCAATAATTAAGTAGTTACTAGTATAGTTTACCTTTTAATTTTAAATAATTTACCTTAATTTATAATTATACCTCAAGTCTTTTAAATTTTTAAATTTTATAGATTAAATTAATGGTGTTTATTGTTAGTCGTCGACCATTGTAGAATTTTCCTAATATTATAAACAGTTACTAAATGTTTAAAATAAACTACCATTTGTTTAAAATATAGAGTTTTATATATTCACCCGCATATATAGTTAGACGTCACAAGACTTTGATACATATATATATAGCAGCGAAACAAATATCATCTTCACAGTGCTTCTAGGCAACAGTAATGGAAGCGTTATAAGGAGCAGAAACCAGGACAAGTTCATTTTTCCTCCTCACGGACATACCAAACTCCTCTGTCATGTCCAAGTCTTCTTCCTTCGTTCCACTAGGCAACTTCCAATCAAAATGGAACAACAGTTGGGCAAGTGGAAGCTCAACATTCGGTAATGCGAACAGTATGCCTGGACATATCCTTCTTCCACCTCCAAATGGGATGAACTCGAAATCTGTTCCCATAAAATCGACAGAACTGTTCGTAAATCGTTCAGGGTCGAACTTTTCGGGCTCGACCCAGTGATTCGGATCTCTTCCGATCGCCCATGCATTGATGATGACTCTAGTCTTGGATGGTATCTCGAATCCATTAACCTTACAGTTTTGGCTACATTCTCTTGGCAGCAACAATGGGAAAACAGGGTGAAGTCTCAAGGTTTCTTTTATGACAGAGTTTAGATATTTAAGTTGGCGAATGCCTGTTTCATCTACGTTTCCTTTGCCTTGAAATGCATCTCTTACCTCAGCTTGTGCTTTTGCCATAACTGCTGGGTTTTTAATCATTTCCGCCATTGCCCAATCTACAACTGTTGCCGATGTCTCACTTCCACCGCTGAAAATGTCCCAAAACAGCATTAAAGCCATTCAATTTCAGACAAAAATGTATGTATGTATGTATAGCTTTGTGAAGGAGAGTGGACTCACAAAGATTATGGCTTAGATGTTGTTATCAGTTAAGGGGAATTGCTCATCTTCTTGAATCCTTAAAAGAACATCAACCAGATCTTCCTTGCCTACATCTTCACTTCTGGCTTTTGCTCTACTCTCTTTGTGTTCATTAACAATGTTCCCAAGTATCCTATCTGATTCTCTATGAATCTTTTCAACTCTCTGCTTTAGACCCGAAACTACGTCCAGGAATTTCAGTGAAGGAAAAAATTCGGAAATAAAGAAACCAGAATTCACCTTGGATTCTTCTGATATAGTCGATATGAAAGCATCTTGATCTTTGCATTTCTTACCAAAAGCAGCCCTTGCTGTTATGGCGTAAGTCATTGAAAAAACTCTCTCACTCAGATTCACAGCCAACCCTTGATTTGTTTTTATTGTTTCGACGAGATTCAACACTTCATCTTCCCTTATCGATCGGAACGAACGGACCCGAGCCGCGCTCAGAAGCTCCTCGTTGCAAATTTTGCGCAGTAGTTTCCTAATGGTGAAAACGCGATATTAGTGCACTCATAAGTTGTAATCATGGCGACGACAAGGAAAGGCCTATAAGCGAAGACGATATCATGCGTTTTCATAATCTCCTTAGCCATTTCAGGAGAAGAAACCACCACAGTGGAAACTTGACCGAGCTGCAGGTGCATGAGGGGCCCGTGTCTGATAGCCATGTGCCGTAGGGTGCGATGGGGTAGAGCAGAACCAGCGAGCTGGTGCAGATTTCCGATCAAAGGTAATTTCCATGGCCCTGGAATCACGTTTGGAACTAAATTCGTAGCTTTTGATCTCCTCATCTTCATAAACAAAACCAGGAAGAAGAAGGTGATGACTGATGAGAACCTGGAAGAAGGATGCCTGGAACTCCATCAGCACAAACAAGAGAAAGCCTGAAATTTTAATGATCACAAGTGTTTCAGATCATTCTGATAAGGTTCTAGTTACGTTGATCTTAGAAGTGATGCATTTGTCTGGTACTGTACCCATTACTGCTATGTTATTGCAGATTTCCACCGCCACCACGACTAGGTAATGGACCATTTTGCATTGAAGTGGTGGAGATTTTGACTAAGCCAAGTGTCTAATCATCCCAATTCAGATTGTAATCACTACCGTACATCATGTCTACCAGGAACCAGTGTTTTGGGCAAGGAGGTTTATGAAATCTACACTACCATAGATTAAGATGATGCATGGAATCCATGGCTTTTATTTTTACCGAAGGACAACGCATAGTTCAGCGTGTTGTCCACGTGGTAGCTAGAATTTTTGTATCGAGCAATGCATGTTGGGTTGATCTCTTCATAATTGGGTTAACAAAAAACTTGAAATGGATAAAATATAAAACCCAAGAAGAAGCCCAAAGAGCAAACGAAGGAAACAAAATGTGGGTTTCCTTGGTTTGAAACCAGACCAGAATCAAGCAAAGCAAGTGTTTTGTTTTTCTGATTTTTTATGCTATAATTGTACTGAAAATGGAATAATTTCAGAGTCTTGGTTTCTGCACCATACGTTGGACTGGATCTTATCTCTGCTCACAAGCATACAAAAACTTTTGTTTAAAGCTAAAAACAATTACAGTCTTCATTTTGAAAGGTGGGAAAAAGTTGCCGACAATTTCAGTGAAAGGACTGAGGATCTGCGTGCCCATTGACATTCATTTTACCGTTGAAGTGTCTCCCATGATGCCCTCTTTTTTCAAAAACCAGCGAATGTGGGGTAAAGATAATTAACATGTAAACGTTTAAGTGAAATTATTTAAACTATAGGAAAAAGGAAAAAAGAAAGAAAGAAAAGAAAGCCCAAATAAAAGATCTTTATCGACTGAGAGTTTTCTTATATATTTTGTTCTCGGTGTCGTTTAATAACCTTTGATTGGGGTCATGAGAATTGGTCATATGTGTGCATCCCTTCTTACCTACACGATCAATGTGACCGATTGTGTTGGGTAGTCTCATTATTTTGTCAATTTTTAGATTTACAGATAATATAAGAGAATATGACTTACGTTAGGCCTGGGAAAGCGTGATTAGAATGGTAGAAGCTCGCACTACTAGGATTTTTGTTAATTTAAGATGACTTATATATTTTTATTGTCAGTTTCTTCCACCATATTCTTTACCTTTTGATCTAATTTGATTAGATTAAATGTTCATAATTCAAATAAAAATAAAATTGGGTAAACTGTATGTTTAGTACCTAAACTTTCAATTTTTTAAAATCATACCTAAAATTTACTTCTTTTTTTTTTAATACCCCGCCGTTAAAAACTTACGTACTAAAATGAAACAAAGAGTAAATGCCGGGTACTAAATGAAACAAAAAGTAAACAGTAGGTATGATTTTAAAAATATTGAAAGTTCAGGTACTAAAATAGAACAAAAATGATACTTTAGGTACTAAACATGTATTTTACCAATAAAATTTAACTTTAATGATCTAAGAAGCAAATTTCAATTACATACGATATTTGTTAATTCTTTTACATTTTGATTTAAAAAAATAAAAATTACTTTCAGTTTGCCATGAAGTGAAACAGTGAAAAATAGTGTAGTAAATATTATTTAAAGAAATCAAAAGAAGGGGCATATTGGGAAAGCAATATTTAACCAGAAATACCGAGGGTAGGAAAACTTTTAAAGAAATATGACCGAGCAATCAATCACCAAACCCTGCTCACAACGAAACTCCAAAAACACCCACTCTTTTCATCTTCATCTTCATCCTTAAAAACAGCCTTCATCAATTTTCTTTCTACATCTCGAATAAAGCACCATGGATATCCCAGAAAAACTTGTGAAGTTCAAGTACCCTATAATCTTAACACTCGCCCTTTCTTCACTCATCATTTTTGCTCCCTCTTTCTCACCATTTTAACCTACTTTTGGCCTCTCTTCCTCTCCACCGCTCTCTTCCTCGTAGCTGTCGTCTTCTTCGCCAAAACCTCCCCTCACTCCGGCGGTTCTGACTCTCCGGCCGATAAGCCCGGCGAAGGCCTCCTTGACTATGTTGCCGGCCATCCCGAACTCACTGTTGACTCTTACATGTCTGAGTAGCTTCTTTTTTTTTTCAACTCGGTACTGTAGTCTCTAACTCTCTTTCCCCAGTCTGCTGTATTTTCTGCTCCCCCCCCCTTTTTTTTTCCCTTGAACTGTAAATTTTGGGAGGAATAATATTATTAATAATTAACTACTTGTAATTTGTTCGAAATTACAAATAGATTATATTATATATATATATTATTTTCTATGAAGTATGATTTGATTTGACAGTGATTGAACCAGGTTCTTAGTTATTTTACACGCTTTATTAATTTGTAAAGTTGAAAGTGATAAAAAAACTTTTAGAAATAGAAATATCCATACAATAGTTTGACTTATTTTTTTTAAATTTCAATCCTGATAAATGTATTGGCTCTTTTCGTCTTTATTTAACAAATTGAGGGATAGATTCTTAGAATTAGATACACCGTAGGTGTAATCCGTATTATTCCCCACGATTAATCTGGGACGTTGAGCTAGCATGGGTACTTTATTCTCGATCCTACGTTTGTGAATCATATATGCTCCGTTAATATGAACCGGTCCCACAGTCTGTGCGGCAGCTGGAAAATTCAAATACGGAATTTCCACTTTCAACCATGATCGGCTAGTTCGCTTTTTTATTTGGGTCTACCTTTTTTTAGCACAATCATTCAGCTAATTGATCTTTGACATCACACAATTGAATCGGATCGTACGACACATATGCTAAATGAATTTACATAAAGAGGTCGCACACGAGGTTTGTAAACAAAAAAAATCCCATCATTATTGCGATAAAAATACATTATGAAGCATGTGCAGCATGCGGTCTTTACCCAGGGAAGGTTGAAAATTTTGTGGCTTCCAAGGAGTATTCCAACACAAGGTAAGGTTCAAAATTACGGTGAAAATGGGGATCTAAACTCTGTAAAATAACTCCAGTACAATTGATGGCATTTTGATGGTGGAATCATCATCCTCGTCTTCATTTATTTTCCGATGACCAAGCAGGAATCTCGTCGGAAACCGATCGTTCCTCTATTTTGAGATCATTTACAGCGGATGAGATATCCTCTGGCTTGATCTTTGCTATGTCCTTTAGCTTATATAAAATGAAATCAGCAGTCCAGTAGGAAGAAAAGAAAAAAGAAAATTAATGCAAACAAAACAATTAACAACATTAACAATGTATTAATGAAGTGATTTTACCCATGAATAGGGGTGTAAACGAGCCGAGTCGAGCTCGAGTCTCGAAAACTTTAAATGTAAGCTCGACTCGACTCGAAAACTCGCGAGCCTTAAATTTTCAAGATCGACTTGAACTCGAAAGAAAATATTGAAACTCGACTCGAACTCGAAAAAGCTCGAAATCAAAAAATAAATCAAAAGCTCGATTGAAACTCGAAACTCGAGACTCGAGCTCGATTCAAGCTCGAACTCAAACTCGAATTTGAGCTCGATTCAAGCTCGAACTCAAACTCAAATTTGAGCCCGATTCAAGCTCGAACTTGATTCAAGCTCGAACTCGAACTCGAATTTGAACCTACAAAAATCTTATATTACATTTAAAATATATAAATAATTTTCCCTTTAATCAACCATCACCAATACATTTTTTTATGATAATATGAACTCATTTCAGAAACATTATAGGATGCAACAAGAGTAGTTATGGTTGTAGAACATGTTCTAAACACATAAGATCAAACATGTGCCCACAACAGGCAACCATTTACAATCCTCCCCAAAGTAAAACAACAACTCTTGCCATAAAAGTAGTGTTTCAAAACTCAAAATACAAAGGCAAATCTTCCATAGAAAACATGAAATCCAGCAACAAAATATTCCAATCTACCTGTTCATGTACCACAAAACCCAAATTCACCAACAACAAAAAAACAGTAACATGCTGATTGTTAAACATCCTGATTGTTTATTTTACTTTGGAATGAAACATATTGGTTATGTTCATTGTATAATATGTTAGAAAGAGGAGGCAACAGAGCGGTCGAATTGAGATGTAATTGTCATCATCGTATTAAAAATAAATAATAGCTGATATACTTTCTTTATCTCTGTAATTCTGCTTGAAACTATAATATAGTATGCAGATGGTGACACCAATGAAACAAAAATATAAAATGTCAAGTGCTTTGCCTTGTTTTGAGGAATATGACCGAGGATGAGTGAAGTAACCCCTGAGCACCAAAATCACAGCTGCCTATCAGAATGACGACAATGGCTAGAATACTAACTATTCTTCTGGTGAATGTGGAGATCATAATAACAGAGCATTATGTTCCAAGAAATTTTAATAAACATGTTTCTAGTCATACTCATGAAAACATATTACCGAAAAATAAGAACACGTGCAATGATATTTGTTCGTGCAACTCGTTGACATTGCAGTAAAAGCTTGTTGTCCAAACTACATGTGTCGTGATATGCAATTCAGCCAAAAAAATCTGGGATATGTGCAAGAGGTTATGCAAATCAAGTTGACACACAAGTTCTAAATTATAGTAGACGCATTCAATGCTTGAGAAGAACAATGAATATAAGGCAACTTTCATGAGACTTCAATGGACAAATAAGAAACTTGTTTGTTAAAACGAGTGCCTTTGATAGATAACTTCAAAATTGTGTGACAACAAGAGAAACCACCTAAAAAAATCAGATAGAAAGGGAATAGCAAGTATGAATACCGATTTGTGTTCATAATATTCAATTTTTTAAATAAGATTAAACGATTAATAGAAAGTTTTTACCTGATTCATTGCAACATAGGCATGCCCTTTATGTATAAACACCCGGTGACTAGCTACAAGTTCTGGAACTTCTCCAAAAGGCACCTTCATAGGGTGGAAGGTGCACAAATAAGCCAGTTAAAACTAGAAACTATGTAAGATTTTTATCCAAGGATTAACCCTAGCCTATGAAGACTAACTATGAAAACTAGAAAATGGTTGCGAGAAAAAAGAAAGAAAAACCAGCAGTGGTCAGAGAACAGTAAGTAAAACCTTACCTTCTCGTCGATAGGAGCTAGCCTTTGTCGCCCGGAGTCTTGGGGGAGCGTTTAGGCCACGGTGGCTGTGGGTTTCTACTAGGGATGTGTAAGTGGACGAGGTTTGAGAGGAGAACGGCGAGGGGGAAGATTTAGCCAGGGAATGTTTTGAGGGGGAGATGAATTAGGGTAAGAGTTTTTACCCTATATATCTTGCTTTAGTGTTCCTTTAATTTGTGCTTGTTTTCAATTATGTCTTGTAATTTTAATTATTTGACATTGTAATCCCTTAGTTGGTTTGTTTAATTTAATGAGTAATTTTTACTTTGTATGCCAATTTTCAGTTTTATATTGTTTTGGTCCTTCATGTCATTTTTAAAATATGAGTTTAAGTTATTAATAGTAGGTTTAATTTTATATTGTTTCATCTTAATGTATGTGCATTTGCATTTCATTCGTATGCATGCATGTATCGTGTAAGCACACTTTAGTTTAGGTAATAATTTAGTCCCTATTTAGGATTGTCTTCTTTAAGTAGTTGTGTATAAATTAAACCATAAATCATAAACCATGAATCCCAAACCATAAACCATAAATCATAAACCATAAACCATAAACCATGAATCCCAAACCATAAACCATAAACCCTAACTTATGAATCATAAACCACAAACCCTAACTTATAAATCATAAACCATAAACCCTAAACCCTAAACCCTAAACCCTAAACCCTAAACCCTAAACCTATTACATAATTATAAGGGATGAGATGTCTTAGTTGTATTATAGAATTTTTAATATATTTTTAAAATTTTATAATTATCAATAATGTATTTTAATAATGTAATTTAAAAAATCTAAAATTATAATATAACATTTTTTCGAGCTGCTCACGAGCTTTTTTCGAGTCGAATATCGAGTAGCTCGTTTCGGCTCGTTAAGAAATCGAGTCGAGCTCGAGCTCGAGTTGAGTCCATTCGATCCGAGTATTTACATCCCTACCATGAACTTTGTCTTTATCACGATCATCGGTAGCCTTAATTTCGTTCCCGTCAATAACGTTGCTCGCAATGACCCACTTGACAAATTTCTTTGCTTCAATATTTGTATAAACCTATGCCATGTACAGAAACAGCTGGCCTAAACAAGACGTTCCGGTGAATATCCATATCATGCTAAACATTAGACCAAATTCGCTCGAGAAGCTTTCATCTCCGAAACCTACGGTCGTCATGGTGCTAATAGGCAATATAATGCATCATCAGACTCCATTTTTTCGAGAGTACAGAGCGTGAAGATACTGATGAAGAAATGCGCTCCCAAAACGGCCAACGATATCATACACTTGGTGTAGTCTATCTTCAGGTTTTCGATCTCGTTAAGGGCTTCTGTCGATCCGATTTTCCGAGACACCTGCAGGGCGTTAAGCATAATCGCTTGTTGCTTGAACACCAAGTATTTAGCAGCTATTTTCACTACTATTTTGAACAACAACATCCCCGCGGTGATTAAAACTCTACACACCAGCTCCGGAACAATACCATTGGGGTAAAGGTCTCCATAACCAACGGTGGTCATTGTCACCACACACATGTAAAGAGAATCATGTTAAAATCAATTAATCTTGCATGCGGAAGAAATTAACACATAAGGATCTTGATAGGGTAATTAAATCAATCAAATCAAGCTTATGACATAATTATTGAGAATTACAATAAAATAAATGAAAACTTATTTGATGATTCCATTATGATAGTTGGATATCCCAAAAGCAAGAAATAATAAATGTTATCCAATCATAATACTGTATATACTTAATTCGTCTTGGGATGATATAAATACTTGTTTGATTCTTGATGAAAGAATTAAAACCCCAAAACAGATAGTGTTATTGTTTTCTTTTTAAGAGAGAAAAAGAGTCTTGAAAAAAAATGTCTGCTACGTGAGCTTTTAAAAAACTAATTCCATAGATCACAAAATAACCGAAAGGCCAAAATAACTGAAATGCCCCTCTACGTTTCAGTTACACATAATGTCATTTAAACTTATATTTTCACGGTATGGGACAGAGGGATTTACACCCGATAATTGCCTCCTCAATACTATACTAATCATCACCGTGTGTACAACAACAACAATTATCAATTACTTAACTTATATGAATCAATATTAGAAATCAAAATTTATAACATTCTCCCACTCGATTCATATATGACAAGTATATAACATATTAACATAATTTGAGCTCATTTAAATAATGTAATATACAAGTCACAACTTTGTAAGAACTAAAACGACCGAATCATGACAGTCACAGGCCTGACAAATGTCCTGATTCCTTCCATGTATTACATATCAATCCAATTCAAACAGACACAATTTAAGATAAACACCCAAAAATATCTTATCTGACAATGTCTTAAAATAAGATTCAACATCTACAATCATAACAAAATACGCATAACTGAAATATGATTCATAGATAAGCAAAATCCAAACAAACATCGATATCTAGAGTATCAAACAAACATAAATGTGCAAGACATATATTCATACATGTACGACTAATCATCCGCTATACAAGGACTTCGCGACTACTCCCATTTCACTAACATGGCCAATAAATGTCTTAGGAGCTAGTCCTTTAGTTAACGGA